AAAAACAAAGAAAATTCAATAATTAAATAAACTCACAAGTGGGATTAATCCACCATAACTAAAAGAAAAGAAAAAAAAATAAGTCAAATGAAATTAAATATTTCTTTTACCAATTTCGATAATAACCATTAAATATAATTCCAAGATCTTTTGCAAGTTGTTCATCAATAAACATTCGAGTAAATGGATTAAGTACATTTTTAATTTGTAATTCTTTAGATTTATTTCGATTTATTTTAACAAATTTATCTGTATCATCAAATAGATTATTCATCTTTTATTTTATTTTTTCACAAACAAAAAAAAGTAAACTTACATATACTACCCGCCATTGATATCAATATTATTATTATTAATTAAATCATCATGACTCTCAATTATAATGCTGTTCCATTTGAAATGAAACAATATCAAACATATATTAATTCAAATTATGGAAATGAATATTTTTCACAACAATATGTATAAAAAAAAAAACAACAGAAAACTAATTATAATAAAATAAATGAAATAAGAATAATTTTTTTTTTTCTATAATTTTTAGAATAACAATGGAATTATTTTAACAACACCAAAACCTAATTGGAATCAAATGATTTTATCAAATTTTGAAAAAAATTTTTATATAGAATCACCTATTGTTCAAAATCGATCTATGGTATTGATTATTCTTAAAATATATATATATTTCTAGTGAATAAATATCAATAAGATTTATTAACTATGATATATAATTCTAATCTAACCCCTAGAGAAAACTTTCAAAACATTTCATCATAACCGGAGACAAAAACTTCGATTTAAAAAAAGAATTTTTTTAATTTTGATATTATTTCATTTATGTAACAAAAATTTATTAAATATTTGTTCAATTTTATCTATTGTAAATAAATTTTTTTTTTTTTCAAAAATTAAGTCTTATAATTGTAGACTTAAGAATAAGGAAAAAAATTTTCTTGACTACAATTTGATTATCTAATAAATTTATTATTTTAAAATTCTTAGACTGATATTCAACATTTTCTAACAAATAATCAAATAACAATTGATGGTAATGCTCCACGACCATTATTTAATTTTGATGAAGCTAATTTTCCTGGTAAAATTCTTTATAATTATTTTCCAAAAACAAAAACTATCTTCAATTAATTTAGAACCAGTTATGGAAACAATAGTTCAATGTGGTTTTGAAAAACCAACACTTATTCAATCATGTTCATGGCCAATATTATTATCTGGTCTTGATCTTATTGGTATAGCATTAACTGGTTCAGGAAAAACATTAGCATTTATATTACCAGCAATAATACATGCTAGTCATCAAGAATTTGTTAAATCAGGTGATAGTCCTATTGTTCTTATTATGGCACCAACACGAGAATTAGTACAACAAATTTATACAGTTGCACATCAATTTGGACAATTAGCACAATGTAGAACAACAGTTATTTTTGGTGGAGTTTCAAAAGAATCTCAACGAAATTCATTATTAAATGGTTAGTAGCAAAAAAAAGACTTGACAAAATCTGTTGAGTTCAATATTTTTTTTTTTCTTTCATAGGTATTGAAGTTGTCATTGGTACACCTGGTCGTTTGTTAGATTTTATTGAAGAAGGTGTTTTAAAACTTGATCGAATAACTTATCTCGTTTTGGATGAAGCCGATCGGTATATAAATTTCTTAACATATTTTTGAAATTTATTTAATTTATTTTCTTCAGTATGCTTGACATGGGTTTTGAACCACAAATTCGTCAGATATGTGAACGTATACGTGTATAGTTGTTTTTTTCTTTGACTTACTTCATAAAATAACTTTTTTTTTTGTTTTTTATAGTCCGATCGTCAAACAACAATGTTTAGTGCAACATGGCCAAAAGAAGTTCGTAATTTAGCTAATCAATTTTTATCAACAAATCGTATTCATGTTACTATTGGAAATATTATCTTAGCAGCTAATCCAAGTATTTGTCAGATAATTGAAGTTTGTACAGAATCTCAAAAACAAAATCGGTATTTATAAAAAAAAAAAGAAAAAGAAAAAAAAAAGGTCGTTTAATTTTTATTTATTTATAAAAATAGATTTATAGAAATACTTCATGAAATAATGAAATTAAAAAATGGTAAAACACTTGTTTTTTGTCAAACTAAACGACGTGTTAATGAAATTTATCTTATAACAAAACAAATGGGTTTTCCTGTTGTAAGTTTTAGTTTTTAGAACATATGAAAAGTTAATAGTGAGAATATTTCAAGTCCATAAAAAAAAGTTTTAAAAAACATTTGATAGTCTCTTGAAGACGGTTGTGATGCATCTGGGACGGGTCACGTGACTGTCTGTGGAGGGTGAGGGGTGTCCCAAAATCGTCTATCCTATATACTTCAACACTCCTTTCAGATCGCGTTTCAAAAAAACTCTTCTCTTCAAAGTCTTTGTTCTGCAGATTTCAAATCGAAATTTGAAAAAATCATTTTTCTAGTGTTCGTAAGCGAAATCACGGCATTATAAAATAATTTTCTTTTCAGCTTTATATTCATGGTGATAAACAACAATCCCAACGTGATTATACTATGAATGAATTTCGTCGACGACAACGAGTTATTTTGATTGCAACAGATGTTGCTGCTCGAGGTCTTGATGTTCAAGATATTCAATTTGTTATTAATATTGATGTAAGAAATAAATATATATTGGTTTTTATTTTTGTTTTATAATATTCTATAGTTTCCAAATCAAACTGAAGATTATGTACATCGTATTGGTCGAACAGGACGCAATAAAGAAGCTTATGGAACTTCGTATGCTTTACCTTTTTTTTTTTTTTTCTGAAAAATATTTTTCTTTGATTTTTGTTAGATATACATTTTTTACATCTGAAAATGCTAAACAAGCACCAAGTCTTGTTCGAGTTTTACAAGAAGCTGGACAAAATGTAAATCAAGATTTAATGAAAATAGCTGAAGGACAACATTCTTTAGCTAATTCAAAACATGGTAAATAGGAAAAAAAAACAAAAAAGGTCTTTTTTTTGATAAGTAATTTTCTTTTTTTTTTTAGGATCGAAAAATCAAATCTATAATAATAGTCAACAACGAATGTTATTTCAACACCAACAACAACAATCAACAAATCATTTTTATTCTAATCGTAAATATCTTATTTCGATTTTATTTAGTAAAATATATTTGAATAAATTAATATTTTTTTATTTTTAGCAATTCATCAATCAGTTGAATACATTCCAACAATATCACAATCAATGAACTATATGCCATCTATTATTTACAATCAATTTTAGACAGTTTTTTTTTTCTTTTTGTCTCTTTTTTTTTTTATACAGTGAATAATAAGAAAAAAACAAACATTCAGATCAAAGAAAAATGATAGAAAATAGGAAAATGAAAAAGTAAATGATTTTTTTTTCTTTGTTTATCTATTTAATGATTTTTTTTGTATTTGTTTGTATGCTTTTTTTTTTCTTGAATTCTCTGTTATACATATATATTAGGACTATATATCAACATATGTGAAATAAAAAACAAAACAGGAATTGATTGAAAAAAAAAATATTCAAATGATTTTTTTATTTTGTTAACCTTTTGGTTACGGGGCCCGCATATATGCATGTTGGGCTTTTGCTGGGACTACTTCTGTTACGCTTGAGTAGAGTTCTGCAGAAACATGACTTTTCATACTGTATTCTATACGATGATTTTTAGTAACATTTTTCTAGCCTATGCTTGAGAGGTCGTACTTAGTGGTGTCACACGGCATCCCAGTCCTGAGGCGTACTACAGTGCGCTACAGGATTTTATTGAGACAAAATTTCTTCACACATAAAGAAGAAGATGTTTATTCCTGAAGCAAAACCCTTCACTCCTGAGGTGTTGCCTCAAAAGCCACCATGATGATTACCCAGTAATCGTAGACTAACCTCACCCTCTTCTACTCTGGTTGTAGCCTAAGCCATCCTAGGATAGAGTAGAGTAGAATTATCCTACAGGGCTCATTGCTTAGTCAGGCTCTAAAGCTGCTTTCATATTATCAGAATCACAGCGTCATTGTGTAGCACTACCACACATGTATACGCCATATTTCAAGCTTTTCCATTAAAACTAAAAGTTTTTTTTCTTGATAGAAAAAAAAACCCGTAACCAAATGGTTAAATTAGCGTCAAATTATCATGTTGGTCGAACAGAATGATAACATTTTTTTAAAAATTAATAATTATTAAGTTCCTAGAAACGATTGATAAGTATCGATAGATAATAAGAAAATTATTTACTTGTTACTTTTTGAGAAACAATGGTGTTACTAATATATCCTATTCATTTTTCAAAGTTATCATTGATTGGTACTTTTAGAACTGTAATTCGTTGAATCGATTCCTATCAATAGAAAATTTTCAAATTCAAATCTGACTTCCTCAATCTGAAACTCGACATACTTTACATTCAATGAACCATCCTGATAGTCGCTTTGTCTATCGAAAAGAACACTTATTACAATTTCATATCCTTTTTTTTTTCATAATTGACAATATTTTTGAGCAACAAATTTTTTCAGTAATTTCTGAATATAGTTTAGATGCTGTGTCGAACGTTCTTATTACACGCCTTAAGGATTAAACAAAAAGAATGATGAAAAGATGTGTCCCAAACAAGAGCGATTAAAACAATCTTTCTTTGATTAGCAGCAGCAACTACATCATGTTTCATATGTGAATCTCCTAGGAATTGTACATACAGCTTCTTTAAATAGATATGTAATTTTTCTACAGATGTGCACATCCCATTCACTAATGTCGTAAATTTTTATTTCTGGATCATCTGAATAAATATAGATTAAGAATTATTTATACATTATAGAATTTATATTCGTTGTATCAATCGAGGAATATCTTTATTTCTAATTAGATTTAATAGAATATTGAATTATTAAAAAAAAACAACAAGAAATACTAAACACAATATATACATATACACTTGCAATAATTATAATTATATTCGTGCAAAACCAAAATCATTATTAACTAAACATAAAAAGAAAAACAAAATTTTAAACAAAAAAAAAAAAGAAGTCATTAGAAAATAATTTACTTCGATATTGAATTATATTATTTACAGGATAACAAGTTGATGATGATGAAGAACGAAACCATTGTTCATAACCAATATTCGTTCGAACATTTCTATGTGCACTTGTACTAGGAATTAATGATCGACGATTATTAACAAATCGTAGTGTATTTGTAAAAAGTGTTTGTAAATAAGTATTTAACATTTGTTGATATTTATTAAATATAATCCATGTTACACTTTCAAAACATCCTGGCCATGTTAAACTACCTAATTAAAAAAACAATACACTTACAAAAATATTAACTATATTTATTCTATACCTTCATAAGTCATATATTCTGATGAAAAAGCCATTAATTCTTTTAAATTAAGATTATTTATTTCAATATCCGATGGTTTTTGAGTATTATTTAATAATTCAGCATGATGTAAAACATAACGTAATTGTGCTGAAGTATCACCACCTAACTTAAATAAAAATAAAAAAAATAATATTTTCTTTCATTACATATCACTTATATTTGTTCTTCTTTTTTACTTACCATTAACATACTAGATATTATTGCAATTCCTTTTGGTGATGTTTGTGCTTGTGCATAATCTTTATAAAGATCTGTATTATAGGCAACAAGTTGAATCTAAACAAAAAATTATTTAATAATATTAATATTTATGAAGATTATACTTCTCCATGAAATGATCGATTATCAATTTGATGTTCACTTCCACGTATTATTTCATCTCCTATAGTTGGTGGTGGTGCTAAACGTATATAAATTTCTACAGGACGATATTCATATTGAAGTGGACCACCACCAATATGAATATTTAAATTTGGATGAAATGGAATAATTATATAAAGATTACGTCCATCATTACGAAGGATTCCATTTACCTATAGAAATATATCCTTTTGTTTTTTTGAAAGAGGGAAAAAAAAGCGACAAAAAGCAAACAAACATTATCACTATTATTGATATAAATTGGTGTTAATTGATAATCAAAAATTAAATGACGACTTTCAATATTAATTGGTGATTGAAATCGACCAGCATCACAAATAGGAAAATAAAAACCCCATGATGCTGGACCACTAACTGCATCAGAATAATCCCACCAATTCCATATTTCACGACGAACAAATGAAGCAGCATGTTCAATATCAAAATCTAGAACAAAAACAAAAAAAAAATAACATTTACATCTTCTTATATCATAGATATATATATATTTACCTGAACTAATGATTACTTTATAATAATGTTGAATAATAATAAATAGTAAAAAGTATTTTAACATCATTTTTATTAATACTGATCACTGTATTTAATCAAATCAAACTGATCTATGATCGTGTTCAAACATCTTCATTTCAATTAGCATAGGCAATGAGCGAAACTACGATGGCCATTACCATTTTTCTCTATCGCACTCTCTTTATACAAATTATAAACTGACATTTTGTGCCTTTCGGCTATTCTAATTGAATCCATGACCGAGACGATGATACTCATATTGTGTATTGACACGACTGATTGATACAGTTGTGTTTGACGTGCATGCTTTGATCTACTACTATCATTTTTTTTTTGTTTTGCTTATTCTCTTTCTATCAATGATGATTACTTCTATAAACTTTGTCAGTTGAGTGTTAAATTTGCAAACTATTTCTTTTTTTTATATGATGTTACATTTATGATTGTATTTAAGAAGTTTTTTTTTTGCTATAAGATATAATGCTGTTAATCTTGTTTTCCATATTTATTGCTTTTTGATCTTAATAAGTTTCAAATTTGATGTGCATCATTATAAATGTGAAAAATGAATAGACATGCATCTCTATATGAAGAGAGAAGAAGAAAAAAAAAAAAGTCTATTGAGATTGATTCGTTGTTATCAGTTGATAATTGTTCAATGATGATGAGTAACCAATCATTAACAAACTTATTCTTTTTTTTATTAACGTTTTGATGCTAATTATTTTAATTATTGAATTTTGTTTGTGATAGCGGACGTTTTCTTCTTAATTAATTGGGAAAAATGTTTCCAATATGGAAGGCAAACAAATATATGATCTGTGTAGATAGCTCGATTTAAAAATATCTATTGCTTCGGATTAGTCTAGTGTCAGATGTCACACATCAGAGATGGACAAAGTCGCACCGCGCCTCCCCGCGCCGCTGCTCACGCCTACGCTACACTAGTCTGAGCTTCGATGAGCGCATGCTTAGAGCATCCCGGTATTCGGTGGAGTTTGAGAAACTGATTGGTAGAGCAAAGAGAAAGAGAGATGTGCGTAGCGCCTAGGCGCGAGCAGTGGCGCGGGGAGGCGCGGTGCGATTTTGTCCATCTCTGTCACACATATCGTTCGAGTCACTTTTTTTTTTGAACACTTACAATTACTAGACAATTTGGTAAAAATGGTATAATATTCAAAAATTATCATTTTATAATGAACCGAATAAATAAGAATATATATAAAGGTTCAATTTTGAAAAGCTTGTCTTTTCCTATGTCCGATTGTGGACACTTTCCCATTTTACAGCCATTTTTCTCTCTCTCTCTCTCGTCTGAATCTATTTTACGGACATTTTTTCTTAATTAACAAAAAAAAAAGTGTCCACAATCAAACGATAGTCGAGTTTGATTATGTCACTAAGAGTAATATGAAGATTTATTTGTATGTTTATTATATAAGATGAATTAAATAATATTGTGATAAAATCATGAGTACAAAGATATTTTCACTAGGATTGAATGATATTTTTTTCTAACAAGACTATTTATTGATGTTAAAAATAAATTTCAAATATAAGATAAAATTTATTTATTTATTATTAATGTTTTTTTTTTTTTTTTACAAGAATATTTTAAATCATATAAAATAACTATAACTACATTATTTGAAAAAGAATGTTATGATGTTTTTTTTTTATCATTGTCCAAAAAAAAAACAACTATAAGAGATTGTCCTATGTATTGAATTATTACCAATATATTGTTATTTGTGTTTTAGTTTTCAAAATATTTTTCATACGATTTTGTGTTTGTTGATCGATTCGATTTTCATGAAAACTAAGTGTTGTTAATGTCTATATAAAATAAGAAATATATGATAACGACAAAAAAAAAAGAAAATTGTACTCTTACTGTATTTCGTCTAAGAGCATTAACAAAATGTTCTACACCACTATTACCAATTCGATTATGAGAAAGATAGAGTGTAGTTAGTGTCTGTATGAACAAGAGATATGTTATACAAAAATTTAAAAAGAAAATTAAAGAATTACTCTATTATTTTCAATAGCATAAGCAATACTTTGAGCACCAATATCACCAATATCATTCCAATAAAGATTGATTGTTGTTAATGCCTATGTTAATATGAAAAGTGTATGATAAAAAAATAAACAGAAGAACAAATAATAGTACCGTATTGTTTATGAGAGCATCGGCTAGATATTGTATTCCTTGATCACCAATTAGATTTTGAGAAAGGTGAAGAATATTTAATGTCTGTATGAATTAAGAAATATATAAGAAAAAAAATAAAAACATATGAGATTACTCTGTTTTGTTGTAGAGCATTAGCAAGATATTGTATTCCTTTATCACCAATTTGATTTTGAGACAGATGAAGAGTAGTAAGTTTCTGTGTGAAATTAAAAGAAAAAAAAAGATAGATCATAAAAAAGAAGAAGAAGAAGAATAATTGAGTATTAATACGCTATTTTTCTGTAACATATTAGCAAGATATTGAATTCCTTCATCATTAATATTATTATGTGAGAGATCAAGTGTAGTTAATGTCTAAATAGAATAAGAAATATATAATATAAATACTAATAGAAAAATGATAATTTTACTTTGTTTTGTATAAGTGCATCAGCAAGAAAACGTACTCCATAATTACTTATTTGATTTTGATGTAAATAAAGTGAAATAAGTGTCTATATATATGTAAATAAAAATGTTTAATAAAAAAATATAGTGTGATCATATGATTACCTTATTTTGTTTAAGAACATCAGCAAGATATTGTGCACCTTGATCATCGATTTGACATTGAGATAGATTAAGTTTAATAAGTGTCTGTATGAAGAAAACAAAAAAGCTGTTAGCACAATTCATCCAGCATTAAACATGTGAAATATGTTTTTTTTTTCGCCACTCTTTTATTTAAGCCTTCAGGTCCATCACAGTGTGTCATGCGAGAAGATATTATTAAGAGATTCATTGCAGTCTGAACTTCTGAAAATTTTCAAAGTTATTGTTCAAGACGATCTCGCAGAAAGACTGAAGAGGCGTATGAATATTTTATGAATAACTCTTGATAGAAACAATATAGAAAATTGAGGTTCTCTCCATTGGAAAGACGAGATGAAGTCGCGCATCAAATCATATATCATAAGTTCTCTTAAGTTTTTTACTCTTGATTAACTAAATCTGAAAATCGAAGACTTGTATAGTTTCGTAGATCTTCCATAGACGGTTCAAATACATACCTACTAATTGAAAATTCACTATAGTCACTTCACAGATTATGTTACTATTAAAAAAGGTTGATGGAAACCCTTTAAAAAAAATTTCGTATATATATACACAATATGATCCGATACAGAACTCCGAGAGACAAGCTCGCGCTATAGCGCATGCCTATACGAAACCATCTAAACTTGTCCGGAGCACATGCTTTTTTCCTGTTATAGTCTGGTAGGCCATAGAATGACACTGAATAAACAAATAAGCACTGGCGTAGTAATTTCATATAGTGAAAAAAGAAAGAGATTCATAACGTACGTAAGCGTAAGCTATGGCGCGGGACTGGCCCGATCGGAAGTTGTCACAACCTCCCAATAGTCGAAAATTTTTGTTCTTTCCCAGCGGAGTCGAAATTTTTTTCTTGCTTTTTTGTTAGAAAAAAATTTTACTGCTATTACAAAAATCCGGGATAATCCCCGAAAAATTTGCAACAACTCTCCAATGTTGACTGCTTCAGACCAGCTCTGCCTGTGAAGCTCTGATTCGATACATCTTCATCCTATTTCTATCAAAAGTTATTTGAAAAAAAAAATTTTACCCGCCTGTTTTGTTTTTTTTAAAGTAGACATTCATCTCTATCAAATCTATGGGTACGAACAAATATAAAATTTTCTTACTGTATTAGTTTTTAATGCATCAGCTATATTTTTTATATCTTCATCTATTAAAATTTTCTTTTGAAAATTCCATTCATATTTTGTTTGATTATTACCAATTAATTTTTCAAGTTGTGGATTAGGATATATTATATTTTTATCAGGTTGTTTTAAACCATCAATAATTCGTCCACATTGTAAAATATTTTCTCTTATAGTTTGTACTAGATCCATACCTTCTATATAATGAATATGTTTAGTTGGTAATTGTAAATTTTGTAATATATAATTTCTTTGATTAATATAATCAATAAATTGTGGACGAGCATGCATTAATTTAATTGGATCTTTATTTGATGAAAGTATTTCTAATGTTGTTTTTTGTAATTCTAATTCATATAATTCATTTATTAAACGATTTTTAAAATTTTCCATAAGTTTATTATTATTTATATCAATATCACGAAGTTTTTGTAATATTTCTTGTTCATGTTCATCAATAATACGTTGTAAAAAATTCATTGAATCATTAATCATAAGTTTTTCTAATTCATATTCATCTTTAATTGTCTTTATTGAAGTATTTGTTTGATTAACATTTTTATTTAATGATAATTCAATATTAGATAAATCAATATTTACCTAAAAACAAAACATTATTAATATTACAAAAATAATTATATTTAATTGAAAATAAATTTTACTTTTGTTTCAAAATCTTTAGCAATTTTATAAATTAATTCATATTGATGATCTTTATGTTCATTTAATAGACAATCACTACATACAGATCTTTCACATTTTAAACACCAATATTTTAATTTTTCATCTTGATGTTTTTCACATAACATTAATTCAAATGATTTTTCTTTTAATATAGTAGGTTCATGATGTTGAAATGCACTCATATTATGAATTCTTTGACTACATTGTTCACAATAACTATTTGTACAATTATTACACCAATATTTCGATGCAATTGCATGACAATTTCCACATAGAATTGAACCAGAACTAAAATCTATAAAAAAAAAAATATGTAATAGCAAAAATAAAGATATAAATCACTCGAATTTATTTACTTAAGAGTTCAATCAGATCACGTATTGTTCGATTTACTTTTAATGTATCAATAGAATTTTTTGGTATAATAGTACCATCGTGTTCAGGACATTCAAAATGTTCTGGATGATTCGATGCAATTTGTTTAATACAACGTAGACAATATGTATGTGAACAAGGTAATATACGTGGATCAACAAATTGTTGATGACATATACCACAATTAATTAATTTTTTGTTTGGTGTTATATTAATTGTTGACATTTCATATATATATATATATTTGAAATGATCACAGACAAAAAACAATGATGATCTAGAATATTTATAATTAATAAATCAATGCAATATATATATATATTGTATCATCATAAATATTGACCAAAAGGAATTTCAGTGATGTAAGAAGATGAGTATGTATTTCATATATATGAAGATAAGACAAGTTGTTTCATTGCCAAAGAGTAAGTAGTAATATGTTTTTATATCTTTACCTTCAATATTTTCATTATCTTGATGAAACATGGTAAACAAAAACATTCTTTCTTTTTTTTTTTTTTTTTTGTAAATTCTCACAAGGCCTACTTATCAGTCGAAAGAAAGAACATTGTGTTTATTTATTTGTAGTAAGTCCATAACATATACGAAAATGATACACATAAAAAGAGAGAATTATACAACCTTGAGATTTAAATTAGACGAAAACCACTAGTATTTATCCATAGAGACACAAAAAAACAAATTGATAGTAATAGTTCGATACTTTAATAGTGAATAATAAATACATTATTATCTCTTATTAGTGTATTTAGATGTCTTTCGCTAGTTTGTATGTAATAAAGTATTTTAACCTCAATGATTGAGAATTTCAAAATAAATTTTTTTTTTTTTTGTTAATTTCGTACGATATTCATAAACAAAAATAAATTGTTGATTAATAATAATATTCAATTTTATATTGAGTTTTCAAAAAGAAATATAAATATTCTTGTAAACTTTTCAAATAATTTACACTGAGATTTTTCTAATTTTATTTTCATATATTTATTAAAGTTTTTATTTGTTTTGAATAACTTATTGTTTAAAAAATTTTTCATTGTCGACTTAATCAGATATTTATTTATCAACACATGAATAAAAATATTTCTTCAAGTAAATGTAATACAAGAGATAATTTATTTTAATAGACATCAAGGTCAATCGAACTGATACGATTCAATATTTATACAGAAACATTTTTCTTTTTACAAACTATTTAATCAAAAATCTAGTTCAATTGAAAATGAAGATAAGTTTTATATATTACATTTATAAGTAAACATAAAGACAAGCTTTTAATAAATATAAAAATGAAACTATTTAAAAAAAAAATTCTCGCATATATCACTTTATTTAAAGATTTACAGAAATATTGATGTTTCTTTATCAATCAAACTTTTTCTACATTCTATATCTGACATACTGTTTATCTTTGATAACTCGATTAAAATGACGTAGTTTTTAAAAATGTTGAAGTTGTTGTTGTTTCAGTTTTACCAATTGTTGTTATATTATTATAAATTGTATTATATGTTGATTGAAAATTTTTCATTAATGGTGGTTTATATAAACTATTATCAGCATTAACATCGATTTTAAGATGTGTAACAGTTGATATTTTTCGTATATTAACAAAATGTATCATTGAATCAATTTGTTTATAACCATCTGCATTAAGACGAATAGTTGACCATGTTAATAGATTAAAACGTGCACCATTTGCTTGACCTTTTGGATGAGGTAATGCTAAAGAAACAAAAAATTAAAGAATAAAAAAAAAATAATAATAGTTTTCTTACCAACATAAATAGCTAATTCATATTTTGGTCGTATAACACACATACGTTGTTGAATAAATCTTAATGATAAATCATCATCTTCTCCACCCCAACCCCAATATAAATTTGAAAAACCATTAATTTTTTTATACATATCAAATGTTAATAGAAGAACACCACCAATTAAAAATTCATAATAACGCATATAATTATTACGTGTATTATTTAATTGTCGAATTCGTATTGTTGTATGTTTTGGATGTTGTAATTCACATGTATATAAATTTTCATCATTTTCAGGTATTAAATCAACATCATGTAATATAAGACATGTTATATTTAATGATTGTTGTTCAATATAACGAACACCAGCATTATATAATCGACCTTTATTAAATCGAGAATTAGATGGATTAACCTTAAATAATAAAAATTATATAATTATTTTTATTTCTCTTGTCTTAATATTAATACAAAAATGCGAAAACCTCGGATTTAAATCCGAGTGTTATGTATACTTCAAAAAGTGAACAGGTATATTCACTTTGTTTTTTATCATCTGAGAGATATCTAGGCAATTTGCTTTCTGGATGCAGTTTTTGTGCATTTTGAGACCTTTTTCAGGCGATGTTTAGTTAGAAAGCTTCGATTTGGTTCAAAACTAATATCAGATTCGGAATCAGCGTTAAAAACTGAGTCGATTTATATATGTTGTGAATAATTCTAAGAAAATTTTTTTTTTTTGAAAAAAATCCCTGTACCCCCCCTCAGGGATGGTCTGGTCAATAATGACAATTTTTTCGATAACTCAGCCATTTCTTGACGGATCCTTCTCATCTTCGAACTCGACCGAGATATTGATGAGACTGAACTGTGTAGAAAATTTCATCACGATCTGACTCTCCTTTCTAAAGTTATCGTGTAAACGGTCGGACACACTGACCGATTCTATAGTGTACTCACTTTTTGAGTACACAAAAATATATATATTAAAATGAATTTTTATATCTTGTCAATTATATTATGTTTAGTAGTGTTTTCTATTCTTAAATACTTACTTGTTCAATAAGTATAATTGTATATGTAAGAAGCTGTCTTCGAGCGAAAGCATGTATATTCAAAAGAAATACTTTAGCATTATAATCACGCCCTTGTAATGGTACTAATATAGCTGTTCGTTGTGCTGATATAACTTCAATAGGATACCACATTTCATTTTCATATCGATATGGTATATTTTTAAATGTAATATTTGAAGCAAATGATGTTTGATGAATAATATTATCTGTTTGATTTTGATTTTTTATTAAAATTTTTGTATAAAAATTTTCTATATCATCAAATGTTATATTTGAATATGGTATTATAAATGGAAATATTCCATGTAAATATGGAGAATATTTTGGATGAAATTGAAATAAATTTTTTTTTGGTTCAATTAATTTAAATGTATGACATGAAATTGATGTACGTAAAACAAATTCACGATATGGAATTAATAAATATTGTGGAGGAATTGATGATGATTGAATTAAAGAATTTTGTTTAAAATCATGATCATTAATTGATTTATTATAAATAATTGACATAATTATTAGATGTTTTATATAAAATAATAATGTTAAAAAAATAATACATGTTAATAAAATCGAAAATATTATTGATGATAAAGAACATCGACGCCAATATATGGTACGCATATCTGAAAGAAAAAAAATTAACATTTCATATATATATATGGGCGCAATCAACCGCCCGGATGTCCCATAGAAAATAATATTACTTCATATAATGAATTTTATACCAAATAAAAGCTCGTCAAAAATGGGATTTGTTGATACTAAATAGTAAGGATTTTGTGAACTTTTTACTGTCAAACTTAAGAAATTTCATACATTTTTGGCATAGAAAACTAAGATGTTAATAATACAAAAATCGAGTAAAACTTTTTTTCTTGAATATTTTTACACGATTGAATAGAGCTCGTCGAGCTCTACAAAATTGTATTATCTTAAAAAAATGGCATAAAAAAACTCCAATACATGCAGTTTTGTACAGCTCAATGAGCTTCATTGAATCGTGTAAAAATATTTCAGAAAAAAAATTTTTACTCGATTTTTGAATTACTAACATCTTAGTTTTCTATGTCAAAAATGTATAAAATTTCTTAAGTTTGACAATAAAAAGTTCACAAAATCCTTACTATTTAGTATCAACCAATCTCATTATTGACGAGCTTTCATTTGGTATAAAATTCATTATATACACTTCCCGTGAAGTAATATTATTTACTATGGGGCATCCGGGCGGTTGATCGCGCCCATATATATATTGAATATTATGCAAGTAAAAAAAATGCTATTAGACATATATGATTATGAACTCCTATATATTGATTCTGACAAATAACTGCAATAACAAATTGTTATTCTTTTTTTATGCGAAATAATAATAGTATATGCACCTCTTATATTCGAAATACAAATCAAAGAGGAAAAAAAAAGAAACACGTATACAATTGAATATAGGTGAGACAAGAACAGAACAATATGAATACATATTAAAATCTTAATGAAAATGGTTTGATATTAAAAAAAGAAAACGAAGAGAAAAGAAATGAAACTTTGTCGAATTCTGTTGATTTTAATGAGCGGTCACTTAGACAAATACACTTGTCAAATGACAATTATGACAAAGAGCAAAGAATATGTTAGCCTATATATGATTATGTAATACTTTACAGTTGCTATTAAATAGATTGCTATTATTAATATAAACATATGTTTAACTCACATATAAGTGCAAGTTTGTAGTAATTATGAATTGTATGTGAAAAATCAGATATACAATGTGAAAATCTAATGCATTGCTCGAATACAGAGAAAAAAGTGTACTTCTGACATTGTCTTACAAAGGTACAAAATAATCTTGCAAGACTTACCGAACGATAACAAATAATTTTCAATAATGATGAAGATAGATATACACACATACACTCTTTCTCTCTCCATTTTCAGGATCTCTGAATATATACCACCTTATTTTTGATATAATAACTACTATCGATAATATAACTGAACATTTGTTATTTATTTTTCATTTCTTGTATTTCAATTTTCAATTATCGAGCGTTGTATGAAATGAAAGAATTTCGTTGGCCTCTTAACAAACATACATCTTATATTTCTTTTCACTTTTTTTTTATAGAAAACTTTATGCTTATGTAAACAAGTTTGAATAAAATTATTAAAGCATGCATTCATTAAATTTTAGAAAGTTCTCTTTCTATAGTTTACAAGTAAATGTTTTTCTTTTTCGGTCTAGTAGACAATAATGTATAAGTTTGTTCTTTGTGATTGTGATATTTATCTTGGTTCATCAGCTGATTTAGGTCAAGTATTGATGTCTATATATACAAGAATACATAGTATTATATTGCATTTTGCG